AAAACATGGAATCCCTACTCACAGTGCAGCTCTCCATTCAAAGCAGGCTGCAGCATGAGGTCTCAGCTTCCTCACTCCCTCACCCTCTTTCCTGTTGGTAGTGGCCAAGGGAATGCTGGGAAATGTAGTTCTTTCCCTGCTCCAGGGCTGGCTCTATAGGCAGGGAGCTAACCAAGGAACTACAGCTCCCAGGGCCCCCTGTTGGTTCTCAGCTCCCATGCTGGATCCCTGCCGCCCCTGCAAATGGGCTACCCCAAGCATGTGCTTGATTTGCTGGTGCCTAGAGCCGCCCCTGATTATAAACAAGTAGATATTACTGGGTCACTTGATTACATTATCTGTGGTATTCCTGATTTTGTTCAGTTTAATGTCATGATAACTGATTTGCTAATTCTGTTTTAGATTATAGACAACCCCTTGATTTGTCACCTGAGAGGAACTTAGTACACCAACAGTGTTCAATTATCACATTTTGTGATCCAGTGGAAGTACTAACTACAAAGTGCCGTTAGAAATATCATACAAACAGTGGAGCTTAAGGCTTGCTGTCTTGTGAACCCTGAGAGCTAGAAACAAATACTTAAAAACTTTACCAGATGCCTACTAGCCAGAAGAGTAAACTTACTATCCAGAAACGGGTATGGAAGATGAGGGTGAGTGTTCCACCAGTGAGGTTGCGGGGGATAAAGCCCTGACAAGAAGCCCAGTGCTTGTAGCTAAGGCTTCTACTAGTGAGCGCTATCCCTGGACTCTGCTTAGGGATTCCATCTCCTGTATTAGCCAAATGCTTATAGATGTCTGATATATTAGAAGTTTCAACCCTCCTCTGGATGCTGGAAAGGAAAATTAATTTCTTTTCTTTTCACTCAAGATCCTTCTGGCTGCTGTGAGAGGGGCAAGTCTCCATTGTTCTACCTTCCCACAGCTTCTTTTTGATTGGTTCTCCCCTCTATTGAAGATAATGAATAGCTACAGCGCCTGCCTCCTCTACTGCTGCTCATAGCTTCCCAAGCAATAGCATGAAATGGACATGATTGTTGGTTGTTCTGCTCTGGTCATTGGGTTTTGTCTGCCCACTTTGAAACTGGCCAATTAACTATCAAAACTTCACTTTGCTTGTAGTTTTGCCACGTATCAGCAACAGCAGAGGCACTGCAGTTGTTGGTAGGCAGATTCAAAAAGAGAACTATACCTAGACTTAAACTAGATTCATAGTTGGAAGATTATTTTTGCAACCACGGGACTAGAAATTTAACTTCTTAAATGAAAGCTTCAGGTTTGCAGAAATTGATGACTGAGGCACCCATGCTCAGCAGGGGATGCTTTCAGCTCAACATGAGAGTGTTGAGTCCTGCAAGTCCTGCAAATGCTGCTGAACAGTTGTAATGCTTAGCTTTCCAGGGGCATAAAGAATTTCCAGCTCTAGGAGGCCACATGAATTTGGAACTGAAAACCACATTACTAGTAATGATTGAACTGATATTTGGCTTTTTTTCATTGTGACTTTTGTCCTTACTTTTAGTGGGCTTTTCAATATATAAACTTAATTTTTTTTAACTCCCAGGGACTAATAAGAATTTTTATTTCTAGTTGCAATGGCAAGCCCAAATAACATTCACATCTTGTATGAAAACTGCATGGGGGCAGAATGGGGGAGACACCTGTTGCCTATGTGAAGTGTAAGAATAGTAAAGCATGTTCCTGTGTCATGTTCAGCCTTGGAAAGTCCATTCATCTGGGGGGGTAGGATGATTTAGTGGGTCCATGCTTACTGCCTTCTGCAAGATGTAAGTTTTAATATTAAAAAAAAATACATCTAACCCTTATGGTTGTGGAGAAAAGCTTCCAACAAAAACTAAACAGATACAACAGCAGCACGAGAAAGATTAGTGTTTCACAGATTGCTGCCCTGCAGCAGCTGCAGGAGTAGAATTAAAAAGTTTTTGGTCAATTTCACTGGTGCTATTTAGAATTCTCTTGATAGCTTCACGGTTGTCCTCAATTGAGTCTATTTCATGCTGCTGCTTGGGTGAGCTCTCAGCAGCAGTAGAGGTAGCTCCTAGAGCTAATGACTATGGAGAGCAAGGAATCAAAAGGAATTTATTAAAAAATGGAGGCCAGGATAGCGATGAAGCAGCATAGATCCCTACCACCCTTGCAGCAGTGGGAGTCAGGGAGTGTCTGTGGCTCATAGAAGAGCAATCAAGAAGAGCTTCACTTTTTTCAGATACCTACTATCTGGATGCTACAAAATGGGGAGTCCCCAAGCAGGGTCCAGGGAGAGCACATTGGTAGGAATTTAAACACCCTTCCCTTTCTCTTCTGCTGATAAAAGGAAGGACACTGGGTCCCCTTGTTATAGTTTGTCTTCTGGCCTTTAGCTTAGCTTTAGCTTTAGAATCTCCTGTGCCTAATGGCACATGTGGCAACCCATTTTTCCCACTGCTGTCTGTCCAGAGCAAGATGTTTGACTCTACCGTAAGTTGTCTCCATTGTGGCAGCATCTTTTTTGATTGTCCTGCAATAGGTCATTCTTTGTCCTCCACCTCTTCTTTTCCCTCCAGGTGGGATCCAATCTAAGATGTACCTTGTGCTTCTGCCACAACATAGCCTGATGACATGGCCAAACCACTGTAACCATTTCTGTCTGAGTATTGAGTCCTCATTCTGCTGACCTATGTGGTGCAACACTTCCACATTGGTTACACAATCTCTCCAATGAACTTCCTGTTGTGTACTTCCACCACCTGCTGTGTTTCTGAGGCATACAGTAGTGTTGTGAGGACAATTGCATTGTACAATCTCATTTTAGTGTGTATATTTTTCATCTTACTCTGATAGATGTTTGGCAAATGGGAAAAAGATCCACTGACTTTGCTAGTTCTTGCCTGCACTTCTTAATGATCTGTCCATTGGTAGATATTGTACTTCAAAGATAGATGAAGTTGTGAACTCTTTCATACGCTTCTCCACCAATCACACATCCATCAGTGTTGGCAGCATTTCCTTCTCTTTCCATGATCTTGGTCTTCTGCGTACTGATACAAAGTCCCACTTTGGCCACTTCTGCTTTTATGCTCACAGAGAGTCTTTTCATTCCATCCAAGTTGATATCTAAGTCTCACAGCTTATATTTTTCACAGACAATACAAGTGCACTAGGCAGTAGCCATTCCTGTTCTCATCCCAAAGTCTGTGACCATGCAGAAGAGAAGTGGGGATAGTACACAACCTTGCAGCTAGCAATCTTAAATCATTCCCTGTCACTGATCCATGTGCTGATGCAGCATGCAGATTCGTCATACAAAGTGTATATCACATTAACAATGTTTGCTGGAATTCCATAGTGTCTCAGGATCTTCCAGAAGGCTTTTCTGTGGACCCTATCAAACACCTTCATAAAGTCAAGGAAGTTCTGGCCATTAGGTGTCTGGCAATGTTTTCAAGCTCTATATATGAATTATTAATAATATAAATGGGGGTGGTTAGAGTTGAGGGTGTGGGAGAGAGCATAAGTATGGTATTGAGAGCCTGGGGAAGTGGGGGGAGTGAAAGATAGAAAATATAGAGGCAGAGCCAGAGAACATAGTGCAAGGAAAAAGAGAGATGAGCAGGTGTATGAGGAAGAAAGAAAAGAGGAAAATGACTGGAAAGCACTGAGGAAGAGGTGCACTATGATCTCAAGTAGAAAAGAAAGACGTGGAATAAAGATGAAACAAAACAAGAGAAAGAACAACATAAAATGTTGACATGAATATTGCATTAATTGTAATACACTGTAAACAATTATGTGTTCCTTTCATTTCCAGGAGGCCTGGCTTTAGGGGAGTGCATTATAGGTATTTTTCACCCTGGCTCTTAGGTTTTGGATAAACTCTTCAAGTTCTGATCATACTAATGTAAATAAATATCTGTTTTCTTTCAGATGCTGGTATTCTAGTATTGTAGTATTTTTGTTCAACAAAACAAACGGCTTCAGTTGAACTTTTCATAACAGTAATGGAGAAAGGGAAGCAGAGGGCTGTGCACAAAAGTTCTTGTGGTGTCTTCATTTATGTACTTCAGTGTTGCAAGGCATCTCACTTAAAACTTCAGTGCATCACTGCAAAGATCTTAAACCCAATGGGTGAAATACTGTCCCTAATGAAGTGTATGGAAGCTTTTCCACTGATACCATTGGGGGTCAGGATTTCACCTCCTTTTAATTTTTGTAAAAAAAAAAATATATATATTTCTAAATGCTGCCCTTCCTGGGGGCGGATGGGAAACAGTTTTATGACTTTTCATTCCTCTGCAGGTATGTGCAATCCTCGCAACTACAGTGACACCCCTCCAACTTCCAAGAGCACTGTAGAGGAACTGCATGAACCAATCCCTTCCCTCTTCCGGGCACTCACAGAAGGGGATACTCAGCTGAACTGGAATATTGTTTCCTTCCCTGTTGCAGAAGAACTGTCACATCATGAGAATCTAGTGTCATTTTTAGAAACAGTTAACCAGCCGCAGCACCAGAATGTCTCTGTTCCAAGCAACACTGTCCACTCACCATACTCCAGTGACAAAGGTAACAGTTAGTTGTCTAAAGGCTAAATTTCTAGTGTTACCTTTGTGAAGGGGCCCTAAAAAGGACAACAATTTTTTATTAACTATGCTCAAGTGCGCTAGCCTCCTTAAAGTACAAATAAAAGACATGGTCCCTGCCCTGAAGAGTTTGGTGTAATTTCTGTCACATTGTGACAGACAAAGGGGGAGTAATACAACAGCATGGGCAAAGGGAGGAGCATATGAAAGTCTTGGGGGGGGGGGGGGGGGAATGAACCATAAAACAATTTGTCAACATGGAATTCCCCCTCCAACATATGAGGTTTCATCAGTTCACACCACTCTAGGTGGGATATTGTAAAATGCTGTCAGAAGCTGAAGCAATTGCCTCTTCTGACTCAGAGAAAATCAGACTCAGATCAGGAACTACACCTAATCTATCCCATAGTAATACAAAAGTAGGCTGCAGGAACAGTTTTAAATATGTAGCTTTAAAGAGCTAAAAAGGAAAAATTCAGAGAGCTGGTGTTTTTGTTGCGGGATCTGGAATAGCTGTTAAACTCGTGGCTCCAAGATGGCATGTTTTGAGCATCTGAGTGACAGAATGATATTCCAGGTAATACTGGATTAACTGTAAATCTGAATAAGTGTTATCTCTTTCTTGGCATTGATTCAGGGGATGTACGTGATTGGAGGAAGGATGATAAAATATTGATTGCCAGGGGGAAATGATGCCAAATTCAGTTGTAGTGACAATAGTGGGGGGCTGAGAGACTCCTTTTCTGCCGGTTGATTTTTTTTAAACAGAATTTACGATATTTTCTCCGACACTCTCCCATGAAACTTAGAGAAACTTCTTAAACTGTTCTTTCGTCTTAACTAAATGATTTCTTAACACTTTATTTTTTTTAAAGAGGAATACCATCTGATGTATTAGTCATATCTATAAGCAGTGCTGTGTTTGACTGTTGGTAACTGTGTACTGTTCTTCCTGTGCTGGCCCTTTTATTTAACTAATGAAAGGAATACAATTGATCGAGACCTATTGCATTTCCATATAAGAGTGAACCTCTGACCTAGTTTTGTTTCTAAACATGACTGTTCTTCATTAAATGGAACTCAGAGAGAGACTTTACTAATTTCCTTTGATTTTAAGGAACATTAAGAAAATAAATTAATTCCAGATGCAGGAAACCATATGGTCAGAAAACATCTACTTCATATCTGTGTTTGACATTATTAAAATATTTGCTCTCTGGTTTTAGAATAATGAAAGTAACAATGTTAAATGGTAAGCTGCAGAAAGCCATATGTGCACACAGTACAATATTTAAAGATGTGAATTATACAGTAGAACCTCAGAGTTATGAACACCTCAGGAATGGAAGTTGTTCGTAACTCTGAAATGTTTGTAAATATGAACAAAACATTATGGTTGTTCTTTCAAAAGTTTACAACTGAACATTGACTTAATACAGCTTTGAAACTTTACTATGCAGAAGAAAAAGGCTGCTTTTAACCATCTTAATTTAAATGAAACAAACACAGAAACAGTTTCCTTACCTTGTCAAATCTCTTTGTAAACTTTTCCTTTATTTTTTAGTAGTTTATATTTAACACAATACTGTACTGTATTTGCTTTTGTTGTTGTTGTTGCTCTCTGCTGCTGCTTGATTGCATATTTCCTGTTCCAATTGAGGTGTGTGGTTGACCAGTCAGTTTGTAACTCTGATGTTCGTAACTCTGGAAGGCATTTGTCAATTTTACTTGCTGCCTTTTTGGATGAAAAGTTGGAGTTTTGGGGGGGAAATTTTCTCAAGACTTTATGAAAAGGGCAACTTGTTCTAATAACAATTTGCATTTTATTCATAGTGGGAAAAGTCCAAAATCCAGGTGTTTTGTCTATTTCATGAGACTGCCTGCTCCATAAGCAACATTGTATTCAGTATTAGGTTCAAAGATCAGCATGCTACTGCTAAATTCCGAGAATGACAATTGAGTTAAACTTAGAAATAGGTACTCAATGCCCTTTATTAACAGGCTATGGTAGGAATTCAGCACAGAAATAAAAGTGAACTTTTTATTGTTAAGAAACTTGAGCAGATCTAATCCTTTTGAGATCTTCAGTGATTGTAGATGGGGAAGGTGTAAAATTGCTTCCAACATCATGTACTTGGAGGAGGAATAGAAACTGCTGGGCAGTATGGACATACAGATAATATGCTCAATCACAGTATATGTAACTTGTGCAGGAAGGCTTTCATACAGCTTGTGTAAGCACAAGTACTACAAAATACATATACATGGTATTCAGACTATCCAAACCAGATAAGTAGGACAGTGCATAGGCTAACCAACAACGGCCGTATTGTTTCAAGCTAAAACATCTACAAGAAAAATGCTCTGCTAGAAATACCAACATATCCTACAGTCAGCGGTGCTCTTCCGTCCACTAAGCCTATGGAATCCCATAAACCCCTGCACATCTAGGGCCCTGGATGCCAAACATCCATCAGTCCCACTAGTAGTGCTGCTAACGATTGTAATGGGGCTACTAGAAAGACATTTGGGCTTTTTGCATGCTGTGGTTCCTCTCTGCTCAGTTTGTCTTCCTTCTGTGGACACCTGCCATCTGGCACTAGCCTTGCATGCTAAGAGGGTACGGCCCAGATATCCTCTTTCTACCCATGACTCTTTTATTTGTTGTCCATAAGGAGCAATGCTGGCTTCCATATGCCCCCTCCACTTTTTCCCTAGCTTTGGAGCTGGGGGTGTGTTGTCAATAACTAGAGGTTTAAAAGAGGGGATTGTCAGAGGTGGATGGGACCCAGCTTATTGTACGTTATTTTGTATAGGGTCCCACAAAACTTGGAATGGGCCCTGCCTAAAACTACACTTGCCATGTTCTGCCACAGCCTCTCTGACTGCTTTGATTCTATACAATGCTTATGCAGAGATTGAAACTAATCTTGTCTGAGGTGTTGGACTTACTTTTTCAGTACTCATCTAGAACTGAAAATAGTATCACTAGCCCAAGGGACCACTGAGAGTTGTAATGACAGATACCTCATGAACCACTGGGGCTAGAAAGGACTGCTTTATATCACTGGGAAACTGGAACTTCTCTTGGTACAAAGCATTCCTTTCTAGCCCTGGCACATTGCGAGCTATTGGACTTTAAAATCACATTCTGTTACCATGCTGCTGATTTCCTCATCAACTTGACTCTGACACTTTCGATATTATTTTGAACTTCTGGAACTAGTGGTAATTGTTCATACCAAGGGTTGTCAACTCTTGAGTCACAACTTCAGGCTGTTTTTCTGGGAATCACATTTTTTGTTCTACATATTTAGCTTAAACTCCTTTTTGGTGGCCTCAGAGCTCAGAACTTGCAGTTCAGTACCTTTTAGAATGAACTTAATTGTCACAGGTGATGACAGAATCTTGGCAGCAGGAGGAAGGATAGCAGAGTATCTTTTGGCAGCTGATGAAACAAAATCCATAGTGCAGGGAAGGGTGTCTTTACATTAACCATTGGTTACTCTCTGGATGGGCTCTGAATTCACCCTCTTCTGGAACGCCAACCAAGGAAGAGAGTTTGTCACCAACAGTGTATCTAGCTTACTGGATACAACAGGTGGATGTTGAAATAGGTCTCTCTTTTATAATCCTTAATTACCAGAAAATTGTATGCTGGTTTATTTTGATAATATATTTATCTCTTTTGTTACGGTAAGTGCTTTGATCTACTGATGAAAAGCACTGTATATGACTACCTAATTATTTTCTCTTACAAGAAATGTATTGTGTCTCTTTCATTTGTTGGCAACGCTGTAAATATAGTTTGGCTTGGAGAGGATCAGAAGAATTTTTCATCTCATAGATAAGATTTTAAAGACAAATATTGCACATCAGACGTGGTGTGCTCTGAACTTGTGACTTCCCAAAGTACTCTGCAGTGTAGTTCTTTTATAATTATTGCTTGCACTGGAAAACATGAAGATTATAACAACATGCTGATGGAAGCATGAGGCTCTCTTGTTTTGATTACTTTGAATTCAGACTGTTGTACATTATTCTCTCTGCCACACAAACCTCCCTTTATTCTGAATTTAAAAAAAAAATCTTCATTTTCTGAGATAATGAGTTATTTATCTGCAGTGTTTTCTTCCCCTGAGAACTCTCTCTTCCACATTCCTTTTTTGACATACGTGAAAACTGTTAAAATGCAAATGAAAGAACTGTTACTGAAATAAGTAACATCCTTTTATCTACAGTGAGACAGTCAAGTGGATGTTTTACATAATTGGTTCTTGAAATTGACAACAGTTAAATAGATTTTCCAGAATACATTGTGAACCTGTAGGTGTAACTTTTTTTACATGGCCCCATTTCACCAGTCCAAGAAATAATCATTTTAGATAAGGGCTCCTGAACTTGCTAGAAGCAACAGGCAGAATTCCATCACCTGTCATACATGAACAAAGATTTGTTCTTGGACTGCTGGATGAGAGAGAGTCAATGATGTAGCAGAAACAGTGTGCTTGCTTTGTTCTTTTTTCTGCATCAGACAACTTGTTTGTTTCTTTATTCTATTGTTATGAGAGATTTTCAAATGCAGAGGAGAGGGGAGAATCCAAGTATGTATTCACAGATGATTTGGTCTCCTTGGAGGAAGGAATTGGTGACTAGGACTATTAAAAGCCAACTCAAACAAAAAGCTTCCCATTCCTGAGAAATAACCATTTTTGAAATTGTACATTTTGTTAAGTGTTAGGTCTCCTTTATCACGCTTTAAGTATAAATCTGCAATGTCAAGGTAAGGAGGAAAACAAGTCCAACTCCGTTATTTGTAAAGGTGCTATATCTTGATTGTAGTGAAGCTTTTGACAGTCTCACGTGACATTCTCATGAACAAATTAGGGAAATATGGTCTAGAGATTAAATTACTATAAAAGATGGGCGCCCCAAAACTAGTTGAAAGACTGAGTTGTCTTTGCTCGTTGTCAAATTGGGAGGGTGTATCTGGTGGGGTCCTATAGAGGTCTGTCCTGGACCTAGTTCTATTAAATATTTTTATAATGACTTGGATAATGGAGAGGAGAGGATGCTCATAAAATTTTCAGATGACACCAAGCTGGGAGGGATTGCAATCACTTTGGAGGACAGGATTAGAATTCAAAAGGACCTTGAAAAGTTGGAGAATTTATCTGAAATCAACAAGATGAAATTTAGTAAAGACCAACACAAAGTACTACACTTAGGAAGGAAAAATCAGATGCACAACTTCAAAGTGGGGAATAACTGGCTAGGCATCAGAACTGCAGAAAAGGATCTGGGGTTATAGTAGATCACAAAATGAATACATCAGCAATGTGATACAGTTACAAAAAAGGCTTAATATCATTCTGGCCTGTATTAACAGCAGTATCATCTGTAAGACACAGGAGGTAATTTCTCCACTCTGTTTAGTACTGGGAAGGCCTCCGCTGGAGTACTGTGTCAAGTTCTGGATGCCACGCTTTAGGAAGGATGTGGACAAATTGGAGAAGAGTCCAGAGGAGAACAACAAAAATGAAAAAAGGTTTAGAAAAACCTGATCTATGAGGAAAGGTTAATAAAAACTGGGCATGTTTAGTCTCGAGGGAAGAAAACTGAGTGGGGACCTGATAAGTCATCAAATATGTTAAGGGCTGTTGTAAAGAGGATGGCGATCAATTGTTCTCCATTTCCACTAAAGGTAGGAAAAGAAGTAATGGGCTTAATCTGCAGCAAAGAAGATTTAGGTTAGATATTAGGAAAATCTTTCTAACTATAAGGATAGCTAAGCTCTGGCATATGCTTCAAAGAGTGGTTGTAGAATCCCTGTGATTGGAGGTTTTAAGAACAGGTTGGACAAACACTAGTGAGGGTATACTTGGTCCTGCATCAGCACAAAGGGATGGACTAAATAACCTCTCAAGCCTTACATTTCAATGCTTCTATGATTTGGTATGGATTAAAGATGATGTCAATAGAGCTACTATAACTTGTAAAAATTGGCTTTTTCTTAATAGTTCATAATAAATCACTGGCAAATGGGAAACTGAAATCTGTATCCTGGAAACAAAGATCTTTCCTCCCCAGTGTGCATGTTGGTTTGTTAGTGTAGTTATTCAAAAGTGCTGGGCTGCTGGTTGCTTTTTCCCAAGAGACATGACCTTTGTTTTTGGAGTGGGGAGAAATGTTGATTATATTAAGAATTATGTGGACTTAAGCAAACAAATCTATAAAATGTATGCAGTGGTGTTTGTGGCTGTGTCGGTCCCAGGATATTAGAGACACATGGTGGGTGAGGCAATATTTATTGGACCAACTTCTGTTGGTGAGAGAGACAAGCTTTTGAGCTTACATAGAGCTCTTCTTCTGGTCTGGGAAACATACTAAGAGTGTCACATTTAAATACAAGATGGAACAGATTGTTTAGCATAAGTAGTTAACACATATTTCCAGGGACCATTCAAGGTGAAGTGGCCCATTAACTAAATAAAATCACTACAGTCTCAAATGAACTCGCACAGGAAAATGATAAAAAATAAAAGCACCCTATCACCTGTAGGTGAACACTTTTCACAAAGTGATCACTCTATGGCTTGGTCTACACTACATACTTACTTTGGTATAACTACATTGCTCGGGGGTGTGAAAAATCCACACCCCTGAGCGATGTAGATATACTGACCTTAACCCCATATGTAGACAGCGCTATGTCAGTGGGAGATCTCCCGCCGACTTAGCTGCTGCCTCTCACGGATGTAGAGTTATTAAGTTGAGGGGAGAGCGCTCTCCTGTCGGCTTAGAGCATCTTCACCAGACGCACTACAGTGGCACAGCTGCATCGGTGCAGCTGTGCGAATGTAAATTTGTAGTGTAGGCCTGCCCTATTAGTCCTCATCCTCAAAGGAAACTTGCAAAACTCTTTCAAAAGACAAGCCTGGAAGCTTAAATTCATAACTTTGCTAGACACTAAAAATCATGGACTGAATAGAGACACTGGATTTATGGCTTATTACAACAATCTGTAACCCATTAACAACCCCCACAGTTGCACCCCCTTCTTTTTCCCACTATGACTGGTGGGGTGTTAACCAGCCACTTCACCTTGAATGGTCCCTCGAAATATATGTTAACTACTTATGGTAAACAATCTATTCCACCTTATGTTTAGCTGTGACACTGAATATGTTTCCCAGACCTGAAGAAGAGCTCTATGTAGGCTCGAAAGCTTGTGTCTCTCACAGAAGGTCATCCATTAAAAATATATATAAAATAAAAGCTTAGAATTTGGGATGTCTCTTTAATCCATCACTTCCTTTTTTTCTTTAATTGGCATGTGCCTTTACACATTTGCCCAAAATTTTTTTAGTACTAGAGATGATTTGCTGACTAGGAAATGGCTATCCCCCATTAATTGATCTCCTACTTGTATTTAACCCCTCCACAGCAGAGCTGGAAACCTCAGTCTAATTGCTAGATAGTGAAAGCTTTCACTAACCCCTGGCACAGGGAAGCCAGAAGAGCAGAGGTGAAAGTAAGCCGGTACACCCCGGTACGGCGTACCGGCAAGAGCCACTTTGCTGAACTGGGGCGGCCCAGCTTCCCCAGGGGGCAATTTAAAGGGCCTGGGGCTCCCAGCAGGGGCTGGAGCCCCAGGCCCTTTAAATTGCCACCAGAGCCCCACTGCTGGAGCCCTGGGGTAGGGCTGTGGGGCTCTGGGGGCTATTTAAAAAGTCCGGGGTCCCCACTGCTTCTACTGCCCCGGCCCTTTAAATAGCCACCGGAGCCCTGGGGAAGCGGCGGGGCTCCAGTGGCTATTTAAAGGGCCGGGGTGGTAGAAGCAGGGGAGCCCCGGGCCCTTTAAATAGCCCCCGGAGCCCAGGGGCTCCAGCTGCCTTTGCCGCCTCGGTCCTTTAAATAGCCACGGGAGCCCTGCCGCTTCCCCAGGGCTCCGGTGGCTATTTACAGGGCCGGGGCCATAGAAGCAGGGGAGCCCCGGGCCCTTTGAATAGCCCCCGGAGCCCCGGGCTGCTGCTGCTACCCTGGTGGTGGTGGGGCACTTACCTTACAGGGTGGGCTGGGACTGGCTCTGACTCCGTCAGCCACGCCCCTTCTGCCCTAGGTCACTGGACCTACTTTCACCCCTGCAGAAGAGTGAGCTTGTCGGGGTTGCTGCAAAGAGAAGCTTGCTGCTGGGATTAAGATTAACAGATTGAAGGCTAGAGATGATGCTTGAGCATCCAAGAAGGAAGTTTAGCATGGAATTTAAGGCGGCAAATGGGAGAGTTGGAATTGGTATAGGCATCAGCAGGAAGCAATCTAACAATTTCTCAGCTAAAAACTGGATTGGTAGTCTGTGGTAATAAGATACTGTAGAATAGAGAAATGATGGAACTAATGAAACATGATTATATATATCTCCACTAAATTACTTGCCTTTTTTAATCTGATCTTTGATCTATGTATTATCTGTTTAAATGATAAATCGCTGTTAAAGCACCTTGCACACTTGGTATTTCACAAAAATTCTATTAAAAATACTTTTAGCTTGCACAGGTAAGCACTCAACTCAGGAAATGCCAAAAATAGGTTTGCATGTGCAATCTTATCTCTGCTCCCTCATGTATGTAGTTGGACTGTATTGGAATCCATGACCGTATTGTCTTTCAAGCAATACAATATTCCTTATGTTTTTTGTATAATACTAAATATAAATCTGCAGCATCTTGCAGTACTGTGTAGAGCAGAGTTCATGAAAACCAGGCTTTTTAAAGGGGGTACATCTACACTGCAACTGGGAGGGCACTTCCCAGTGTGAGTAGACAGACAAGCACTAACTTTGCTTGAGCTAGCATAGCAAAAATAACAGTGGAGCCAGAGGTAGCACAGGTGGCGGCTCGGACTAGCTGCCTAAGTATGTATCCATGGGGGTGGGTCTGTCTACCTGTGCTGGCAAGCATGATCCAAGTTGCAGTGTAGGCACACCCAAGACATTCGGTGATTGAGGCAAGGGCTCCTGTGTAGCCCTGCCTTATCCACTCTGCATTTTACAATGTGCACTTTGTAATGTGCAAAAAGTGGTATGACCATGTACTTGAAAAATAGTATATGATCATAGAAGTAAAGACTACTGTACTACCTACAAGGGGGTTAGAGCCACAATATGAAGAAAGTATCCAGGCTGATAGAGCAGGCCTTATGTTCTCACCTCTTCTCCTCTCCTCACCCTTCCGTTTCCCCTGTGGCACATAGTTTGAATGACTTACACTCAAACATCTGACAGCTACATACTTAACTAAAGTAACCTTTTTAAATTTTTTTCTCCCTTTGTTTAGAAAACATGTGCACTGTGGTCTATTTTGATGACTGCATGTCAATACATCAGTGCAAGATCTCTTGTGAGTCCATGGGAGCATCAAAATACCGGTGGTTTCACAATGCCTGCTGTGAGTGTATTGGGCCAGAATGTATCGACTATGGCAGTAAAACTGTAAAATGTATGAACTGCATGTTTTGAAGCAGAGAAGCTGTATAATAGTAATGTGGAGGCCAAAGCAGCGTCTCTTAATTAAAAAGATGGGGATTGGAAGTATTGCATTATGGGATATGTTCTGGGAGCAACTAAACATGAATGATTTGAGAAAAGATGTATACAATTCAAAGCATAGCTGTATTTTTTTTTCTTTTTAAATCCTGTAAACAATGCTAATTGGCAAATGTTTCAACTGTATTGTTTATTTTTTCCTTATTCTTAGTCGAGTAGCATAACCATCCTCATGCTTCCTGTCCTGATTGTTTTGCTTTGATCTGAATATATTGCCTATACTCATTTTCAGAATGTAATGTTGTATTTAGCAGTTCAGAATAGTGAAGCCTCAACAAGATTCCCATTATTTAGAAGTTCCACAAGTGCTCAAATAGATAATGCTCTTCCATGTATATTTTATAACTCTCCAGTATAAGAGCCATAAGACTCCAGTGGCTTATGGTCTTACACCAGTGGCCCAGATTCTTATTGTGAAAATGTCCTCAAAAATAAGAAAACCTTTTTTTTTTTTCAACTTCAAAACTGGAACTGTAATAGATAAAATCCCAGCCCTAAGCAGGGTGTCCCACCCACTACAATACCATGTGTGACACATCATTCCTCCATCTGTTATATGCCTCCATTCATGCAGGCAAGGTATTGCATTTCATAAAGAAATCTTGTTCCCATCAGTGCACTCTTCTTATAAACCAAAATAAAGCTGGTAAGTTTAGTCATGTCCACTTGCTATCGCACTCTTTGTGGGTTGTCTTATCCCTGGAAACTCAGTGCTGTGCTGCAAATTTGGAAGGTGGTTATTATGAACAGAAAAAATAGCATGTATAAACTGGGAATTAAACTGCATATGCTAATAAGCTCAGCAAGTTTATTTGTTGAGTAGCTGGCAGTTGTCACATTACCACATTTGGTACTGCTCTGTGGAACACTTATTCTAACTGTTTGGTTTGGCTTTGAGGTTGGTTTTGATTCAGATTTATGATATAAAAGGACTTAATGGGGAAATAATTATCCTCTGAGACAAATGAGCATTCTCTGAATATGGAACACTTTGTCCATTTTGCTGTGTTTTAATATATGGAGTAGTAGGCAACTGCAAATTATAAGGTAATTACTATGGTACCATTAGGTTTTTCCTGTGATGATGGCATAGAAACCACAAGAATAAAGTCTGAGTACAATTGTGATCTTGCCAGAAACTCATGATAGTGTTTATAACAATAACTTTTTTTAAGTTTACTAATTTTTTATATAGATGGATTTGACTATTCCTGTTTCTCCCTCTCGCCTCAACCTCTCCTACCAACATGTTCCTAAACACTGAGATCAATTATTTTCAACTCTCATTTTATTTGAAAAATTGACTTGGGAATTTTTAGTTATCCTGATACATACAACTCTTCAAATAAGAAAAATCTAAAAATGTCTGCTGTTGTGCAGGACTTAATTTTTTAAACTCTTTTCCAGGTATTACTTGAAAGCTGGAGGTTTGCTTAAACTTTTAAACTGGTGGTAAACAAAACTTTTTCCTATTTAAAGTTGGGATTTATGGGAAAAAGTTTTGAATTCATGGTTTCTGGGCGAAGGGCAAAGATCAGCCTAAACTGAAGGAAATGTTATTTCTTCTTCTTTTTATGGTTTGTTCCTTGCATCTTTTCCTTTTTTTTTTTTTGTGCAAAGAAATTCTTCATGAATTTCTTATAGTGAAAGGGGAGAGAGGATATGCTTATGTTGTGAGTATCTGTATTTTGTGTGCTTGAGGATTATACATTATTTCTGATCAAGATTTAATAAAACATTTTACAAGTGTCCCTGCAAATCAGTGACACACTGAAGGCTTTGAGTTATCATATACTGGATTATTTGAAATGTAAAATATTGTGGATTCAGAATCTTAAGACAAATCAAGTTGATTATCTATTTGGGACCCTGTTGCGTGGATTTATGACATCACCCTTCTTTACATAATGATTTTACTTCAAGATCAAGTAGGAGGGGTAGAGAGGTTGTGTGTGGAGGGAGACAGAACCTCTGTTTTAAAGAGTTAAATGTCCATAAAAATCATGGAAAATCACAAAAGGTAATTTTTTGTGTGTGTAATACCTTGAAAAGTTTTTGCTTGTAAGGACAGTCCACTTTAAATTAGGTTTGCTCTATTTTTGTAATGTATGATGGTCTCCGGAGAGTCTGTGCTGTAAACTCAGTGTGTATGCAAATGATCTATGGCAACCTCCTTCTTTGGAGGTTTTTAAGGCCCGGCTTGACAAAGCCCTGTCTGGGATGATTTAGTTGGGAATTGGTCCTGCTTTGAGCAGGGGGTTGGACTAGATGACCTCCTGAGGTCCCTTCCAACCCTGAGATTCTATGATTCTAACATCAGATGTATTTTCTTATATTTCATTTGTTTAAACAAGTATTTTAATAAATAATGAGACATTATTGGATTGTGTGATTCTTTTATCACTGCTGCTTCTTCCTAAGCTCTCAGGGCAAAAGCTTTTAATGGAGTTGAAGTATAAATTTATTTTAGTGATTTCACTAATTTTAATCCTATTACTGTAGTCTCAATTGATAACTTTATTTTTCTTAAGGTGTAGTGACAAAGTGCTTTTTTAGCAGCTTGAAAATTGTTTTACAGATGAAATTGTAATTTTGCTTCTAACTGAATGTATTTACTTTATATAAAACATGAAACCTACAAAATGCAATTCGTGTAACATTCTGAAATTTTCTTATCTATGAAAATCCCATTATAGGAGAATATTATGTAATTTACATGGCATGGAGGGAAAAATAATAAATATTTTATTGTTGGGACACATCTCAGTTAGGCCCTAATTGTAGGAAAGCACTTAAACACGGGGTTGAAGTGAAGCATATGCGTAAGTACCTTGCTGAATTGGTATTTTATCCAGTTGAAGCATCTGGGCAACTTATATAATTAAACACTCACTATAAAATTGTAAATCCTTAAACTTTAAGTACTCAATAAAAAATGCCCCGTGTAACAATCAGTGGTACAAATCCCAGGTAAATTCTTGATCAACTAAATTCTCTTTGTTGCTATCTGATACGTTAAAGCACAGACATGTAACATATAAAATATTTTAACAGTCAATTAGTCTCTCAACCCCAGATTTCTAATATCTGTAAAAATTATTGATGTGTAATTTGTGGAATGGTAATGTAATGCCAGTGTAGTATTTAATGCAGTGTGATTTATAACTCAGTTGTCATTTCATTTTGAAGTCATATACTTTTAAAAAACAACTGAGGGCCAGATCATATCTGCTCCAGTAGGTTGCTCTGACAGCATACAGGGGATAGACCTGTGCTGCAATGGGCTAAGGGTGAATTATCTCAGTGCAGGTTCTCCATGGGGACTCTACAGTGGATCCTCAGTGCAGAGGGAATCTTGGTAGCAGGAGGGTCACTCAGGTGTGTAGGAAGAAGTCTCTGAGTGCACTGTGGAGATTCTGGGCTGCTCTGGAGTGTGCATCAGCCTATATCAGGCTGCCATAAACTAGAGCACCTCTGGGACTGCTTTAATTTTTGCCAGGGGGGCCTTTCGGTACCTGAAGCAGCCCAGAATCCCAAAGGTGAAAAGGACACTTAAAGCCATCTTTGCCCCACTTTCCCCTGAGCTGCACTTTCTATGTTGCATTTTAGGGAGGCACAGCACAGAATTTTAATACACTGGACTTAGCCCAGTGATACTGTGCTTAAACCCATTGAATAAGACCCTCAGCTGGTGTATATTGGCTTACCTCATTGACTTCAATTGAATTATGCCAGTGTGCACCAGCAGAGAATCTGGCCCACGGTGTCTAAAGCCAGACTGTATTTTGACATATAGAAGATCATCCTGCATGCCCATCACTACTGCAGTGCACACATCGAACACATTCGTCTTTCTCTGGTTCCTGTCAATCTTCATTTAGTTTCACCGGGTCCTAGTATCTACTGGGAGAGGTAAATTTCCTAAATCTTGTCAATATCTTGTCTTACTGAAGCTCCCTAGTAAAAGTCATCTGACGTATGCTGAAAACCTGGCATTTTTGTTCAGAATCATCAAATAATTGTCTGTCTCTGCAGAGAGGGCACACAAGGCTCCACACAACGCTATCATATCACTTGTTGGGACTCCTGTCATGCCCTAGGTCAGAGGTTCTCAAACTGTGGTCCGTGAACCACCAGTGGTCCGTGAGCTCCATTCAAGTGGTCCGCAGATAGTTCCCTCTAAGGTGCGCGCCTGGGCAGCTGCCTGTGAGAGAATGAAGGGCCACCCACCTAATTAGTGGAGTCGCGCAGGCGTGGCTGCACTAATTAGGTGCCTGGACCCTGGAGAAGACGCACATGTAAGGTGAGGTGGTGGCCTTGGGGGGAATACAGGGAAGGTGGAAGGGGGCAGTGGGGTGAGAAGACGGGGTGGGGGGAATTTGGGACATGCAGGGCTGTGGCGGCCAGAGAAAGAGGTGACTTTCCCCAGCTCCAGGGCTGCGGCTGCCCAGGAGAGACGGCCCTCCTTCCCAGCTTCAGCTCTGTGATTGCTGTGGCGGGGGAGAGAACCCCTTCCTTCCCAGCCCCAGCTCGGGGGCAGCTGCGGTGGGGGAGAGAGGGAGAGACCCCCTCCTTCCCAGCCCCAGCTCGGGAGCTGCCGCAGCAGGGGAGAGAGGGCACATCCATCGCATTAGAAAGGTAAGACTACGTCTACTGATATTAAATTGAGTTGTGTGCTTTTATTTGTAGAACAAAAAAAGTTAATTAGTATAAAGTTTTTTTATATAGTGCTTTTATCCAAAGTGCTTTACAATAGTTAGCTAACGGTACAAACAACATTTGGAACGATCATTAAGTGGTCCGCCAAGACCCTCAGCAATTTTCAAGTGGTCCACAAAGAAAACGTTTGAGAACCACTGCCCTAGGAAACGTCCACTCCACTTTCCTGTTCTTAAGAAATGGATATAAGGGTGAGCACCTCACCACATCTATAACAAGAACTGGATTTATACTTTCGGGGCTCACCAGTTCCTACTGTTGCTATTTTCTGAGTGAGTGGATTCTTTAGCCCTTTTTGTTTGAATGGGGAGAATGTTTGTTTTTACAATCTATTACCAGGAAAAATTGGTACTAGAAGTTGTCACTTCACATGCTGAGATAGTGCTGCTGGCATAAGCTGTTCCAACAAGCAGGGTGTGAGTCTGGTGGGTGACACTCATCCATGGTAAGCATAAAAAATGCCTGGGGTAAAGTATGTAGCTTTCAGACAATTCTGATACGAACAAGCGGCGGACTGGCTTTGAGAACCACTGGTCTAATACGTTTCACTTTATATATAGCTCCTCTGATTGGAGGAGCTCAAAGTTCTTTATCAAGGGTTTGATGCTCACATGACAAATGGCAGGGGGAGGAGGACTTGTGACACAGGCAGGACTGGTCATACAGGGTGAGTACCAGTCAAGAATTGAACCTAGCTCTCCTACTTGCCAGTCCTCCGCTCTAACAACTAGCCTTGCTGCCTTCCTGAGGAGAGTTGGTGCTTCCTGTTGCTTTAAAAAATGTATGCTAGTTTTGTTAACAAAATGTCATGCAGCAAATCTATCCCAGTAGTCTTCCCAGCTGCCAGCGAGTGGAGATGTATGGCATCCCTGGGATAAAATTAACAATGGAGAATAATAAAATGAATCTTTAACTCCTGATGACTGAGCTTATCAAAACTGAGGGCCAGACCCTGCAATGTTCTCTTGAGTTCTTGGGGGGAGGTGTTCAGGATATTTTCACTACCTGTCTAGTATGGTTAAATCGTGTTCTGTGTGGTGGGTGAGTATTGTTTTTTAAGGCAATTGCCATTCAGTATCCAAATGTGAATTGATTCTGCAATCCTCTTAAGGCAGATTCCTTTCTTTTACCCCCTTACACCTTCTCCACAAGCTGAGAGATGAATGGTGACCACCTCTGATCAGCTGTTTTGATCTTTTCCTGTGCACAAAGGAACATAAGATTGGCCACGTAGCCCAGTATCCTGTCTTCCAACAGTGGCCATTGCCAGAAGCTTCAGAAAGAGTGAACAGAACAGAGCAATTTGTCAAGTGAACCATCCCCCGTTGTCCAGTCCCAGCTTCTAGTAGAAGTTTAGGGATACTCAAGGCATGGGGTTGCATCCGTGACCATCTTGGCTAATAGTCAT